ATTTCATCCTAATGCGGCAACTGCTGTTCCACAAGTATAGACTTGGTTAATAGACAATACAGCCAAAAAGGTTAGAGTACAAGCATAGCTTCAGGTCAGAAAGCTTCTGTTCCTAAGGAAGGAGATTCATTCAATACTGCAGGTAGCTCTGCCATTCTGCCAGACAAATGCATTTTTCAGTATGTGTAAATTGGTAAATAGGTACAGAAATCGGAACAGAGTGGTTTTGTGTTTTTTTTTTTCTTTTATATTAAAAAAAGCAAGTTGTTTAGAAAAGTGTGGATACTTTGAACCATCTAGGAAGACCTACTAGAATTCTCCCAGTTAATTTTTTGCTGTTTAAAAAAGTTACCAAATTGGCATAAAAATGAGGGACAATATTAATTTACAACTTGCTGGGAATGCTTTTGATACTCGTAACAGGGTCTTTTCTTCTACTCAGACAAGAATAATCACTCTTTAGCAGTTTTATTTTTTGAACTACGGGATAATTTTAATGTGGTAAAATACTCAGAAATTCTGTCAATACAAAGCCCCGAGGGACCCACTCATACATGTAAAGAGGTGACTGATAGAATATGAACAGGGGATGCATCCCAAATCCTCAATGACTTTTGAAACAGTCCATCAGTGATAACATGAAATTACAGTAGATGTTCGTAAGCCAAATTAGATTTACCCACTAACTGTTCAATTCCCAATGATAAGATTTTGGATAACTGTGATTCCCAAGGAAAATGAGGCTTTCATGGTCATGCTCTCTTCTTCTATCCAATCTCCTGTTTTTGCATATTTCTTCAGTCAGTTGCTTTTCCCACCAGAACTTTGCATTCCTCTAATTTTAATGAAAATAGGCAGCTGGCTGGAAGGGCAATTTGCTAGCAGTATTCTCTACTGATGGAGGGGCTAATAAACTCAGCCCATATTAGATGTTAAAGAATCTATATGGAAGAGAGTGCTTTGGAACCAGGCTGGTCATGAAGCTTTTTTATAGTTTCTAAGTTTATAGCTTTAATCTTAATTTGATAAAGTACCAAGTTGTAGTTGAACCAAATCCTCAGTATCTAAGATAAAATAAATGGTAAGAATATGCCAAATGATTAAATTTGGTGTGAGATCTTGTACATAAGATATTGTACTGCTTCTAGTACACCACTGGAGAAAGAAAAAGTTATCCGTGAAAGGATGTAATTATTCATGTCTGAAAGATATTGATAAAGCTGAGTGATAAATCCTACAGCTATTTACAGAATGTCAAAAGACAGAGAGTGAACTCCTCATGTAAAACTTCATACAACTTGGTGTTATTCCATGGTGATACCTCCACTCAGAGAACTGCTTAGCTTTGGTGGGGGGGGAAGCAAAACGCTGAGATTCCTATCAGCCTTCCAACATATACAAAACTTAAAAAAAAAAAAAAAAAAAAGAAAAGAAAAGAAAAAAGAGGTGGTGATGGGACGAGGTTCCCAGATTGCCAGGCTCTGCAGAAACTACCCCCTAGAAGAATAACTTTCTAGCAAAGGTAGCCATGAGATCTTGTTCTAGGAGCAGCATGGAGGGGCAATAAGGAGTGAAATCAAAGATATGAGCTGTTGGTAGGTTTTTCTTCTTTCACTGCCATCCAAAGACTGTCTCGGTAGGCTCCTCGTTATTAATGAGCTTTGAGTAGATTTCATACTCTCAGAGTTGTCTTTTTGGGATGAAACCTTGAAGTGACTAACCGCTTGTAAACAGGAGAATTATGTGTCCTCCTGAAGCTGACTGGCATATGACTATTCTCTGGAAGCCAGACAGTAGTCCAGCAAATATATGTTATTACAATCAATGAGAAGTTGGCAACAGATGTGAATTTTCAGTTTGTTAGGGTTTGACACAGCTGTGGCAATTCTGCCGTGCTAGTTTCATCTCCTGTTTATTGACTTTTCTGTATTTTAGACCTGAAATGGCTCCCCCAAAACTTGCTTTGAGAGTACAGAAATGTAGTTTAGTGCTAAATGCTATCATGTGAAAAGAAGTTTGGTTTTGTTGTTGTTTTTTTTTTTTTCTCCATTTTTTAGCCTACTCTTAGGGACTCTGGACATGCTACTATTTATTGGTCTGGAGTGTTATTGTCTAGGATGCAAACATACACAGGTAGCTGAATCCTGCACTCTGTCATTGGCTTCAATGTGGCACCGCTAATTTTCCAGCAAAAATAGAATAATGTGCTTCTGGGAAAGCTACCTTTGACTCTGGATATTTACAGAGGGGTTTTGTTACTCTCTGGGTGCCTATGCAGGAAACTATTGTTCTCCCAAGGAAGTGAACTAAAAAGAACAAGACCAATACAGTTGCAAGACTGCCAGGAGCTGTCTGGATATGGTGTTTGTGCTTATCAATTTGCATTAATAATGAAATTACATGTTGCTCTTCATGTTATGAAAATAGCAAATGGTATCTCTAACCACAATTATTTTTTCTAGAAGGGTGTTCTGGAGTGCCAGCACTTCTGGGCAAGGATGTTATTTTAGACCACCCAAATCAGACGCCAATAGGCTGAAAATTAGCTCCACTTTTTTCTGATGAAAAAAAGAATTAGCCCAATTCTGGAAGGTTATCACAGGCTGGAGTAACTGCAGTCTTGGGAGCAGGATGGCTTCTGGCTTCCTCTGGGGATTTGCACAGCCCATAGGGTTTATTATGGCCACATTTACCCATCTGAATCTGTTTATCTTTTACCCTGCAACAACACAAGGACTAAGCTGCACCAAATCAGAAGTAGTGAACAGTCATCTTTGATGATGTTTCCGTTGGCAGGCAGATGTTGACATGTTTAAGGGAAGTGATTGATGTTGAAAGGGGAAGGGAGAAGGAGTGAGGCTCTCTGGCTCTAGTGGGAGAGGATGAAATCATGACACCTATCACAACTGAGAGTACCCTGATGATGAACTGGAGACACACCATTTTTGTAAGCAGTTACGAAATTTTCATCACAAAAGGTTCAAAGCAAATTGTATACCAACATCTGTTTCTCCAGTGAAGGCAGACTCTTAGAATGGCTTGGGCTTCTGTTGAGCAAGGGGGAAGCTGATTACAAAATAACACAGAATTAACATATTAATTAAAAAGTCAGCCCTGTAATTGGCTACATAATCCAATATTTCATGTTAATGAAACCCACTAGGAATGCTGACTGAGTGTTCCACTTGATACTTCTATGTTAAATAACTATTTGCACAGGAAAATTAAAGTCAAATTCTTGCAGTGGGCAACTGGAATAATATGGAAGTGTCCCAACTGGAATTTGTAATGTCCATAATGCGTTAAACTCTGAAGGTTTTAAATATGTCAGTTTCAAATTGGAGGAAGACAAAATAGAAATTATTCTTGTCACAGAAGAACAAATGTGTCTTGTATTGTTATACAAAAAGTGATTCAATCAACAATTAAGAGGCCAAGAGACAGAGTAATCTGTGATTTTGTAGGTTTAAAAACAGGGTTTCTCTGCTCAGGGCGACTCTTGAGTATTAATCTGAATTTAAAAAGGATGTAACTTTAAAAGTGACATCATAAAATTTAATATTAAGCCTTTATTTGAACGTGCTAATTCACAGTTCAAATGGTATCCATTTGATGTAACGTAATTTACCTCTAAACAAAACTGAATGAAACTGAATGAAGGCTATTCTCATCTCTCGTAAACATGGCCAGTAGTCCCCACCCTATTTTAAAAGAATTTCAGATTACCTGTAGTCAGTGACTCCTTCCCCAGCTCCTTGTATCTCCAAAGTTAATCATTTCAGTGTCAGGAAAATTAATCATGGTGCTATCTTTCAAAATAAATTGTCAAATTATTTTGTTACAGTGTAATGGGATACTCTCATGTAGACAAATAGATACGATGTTTCAGTCAGCGTGTAGTTTAAGCTGCCATTCAAACTAATGGAACACTTTCAGCGTGGTGTGGCCCTATTTTAATTTATTAGTGGTAGCAGAACTGTATGTTATTATTGCTTATTATTGCTGACAAGCCATGCTAATATGCAAAAAAATAGATAAAACACTCAAAAGAAAATGAAAAAAGAAATTTAAATGCTCCAATTTGAAAAAAGAAGGAAATATTTTCCTGCTTTCAGTATTAAAATTGTCACGTGTCTGTATATGTGCCTTTATTCAGGCTTATCGGAATGTCATTTAAAAATGACAAATACTTTCTGACCAGCTTAGGTTGGGAAGCTTAATTCTTTGTTAGAGTTAGGAACAAGTAAATTGAAACAGGCGTTACGATGATAGCTTGCCTATGATAGAAATAAATCTCATGTCTGGAAGGGAATTGGTTCCATTCCCATTAGGTATTTTCAAGATACCTAATGATGTGGGATTCTGTGATATTATGACTCCAAAGCAGGGCACTTTTTTCTTCATCTGAAGGGTCTCTGCTGGGTCTATGGTCCATTCACTCAAAGTCAGTAGTGCATTCCTCTAGATGCCTCTTGGTGAGCTTGGCCTACTTACGAGCATCATGAAAATTTAGTCCTAATTGGGATACAAAGTCAGAACCTTGTAAAGCACTGTGGTAACCGCCATGTCCTGGCACAGTGTCAGTGCTGTGCCAGGACCCAGGCAAGCAGCTGCAAGTTCCTAGTATTGCTTTCCAAAGGCCCGGTATTAACCCACCTGTGGCACAGGACCCTCGGCAGATTGGCAGTACAGCCATCACCATGGCCATGCATACTTCAGGTTGTATGAAAACAGGCACCTCTAGGGTGACTACAAAAGCTTTCCATACCATTGTCTGAGTCCGTATTTTCTTTCTCTGTCTTCACTTACTCAAGCTACTTAGCAAATAGCCCAGCGTGCAATCGTGCTATCATCTTAGTGTGGTCTACTTCCACTGGAGGGTGGTCCTTTCACTTCAAACAGAGAAACAGCAAGGACAGGCTGTCCCCTATGCTGTTCAAAATACATACGATTTTTGTTTTCTGTGCTGATAAAACTAATTGCATTTGTTTTCTCTGCAGATGAAGTTTTGCCCCATCCACATGCTTTCTGTAAGAATCATACAAGCCAAGAACATCAAGTCAAGAGACCTGTGTGAGTTGTGGTTTGACTGTGTTTTTAGTCACCTCCAGAGTTTACACAATGAGCAATGTTCCTAAGTTCTGAAGGTATACAAGCAACGTACATAAAGCAGAGCAATAGAAGTACTAATGCCAGGGCTATAATTAGATCAAACACCTGAAGTATCATTAGATTGGAGGACATATCTAGTGGCATTTCAGGGAACTGGTAAAAACCAAGACTCCCAGATGAATTTTTTGGGCCAATAAGGGAAGGTAGACCTTGTGAGGGCATTGCGAATCTGTAAATCTGCTTGGAGTTGTTTGTTTTTGATGGTCATAATGGGTATAAATCATATCATGGACTTTGCCACGCAGGCCACATATTTAGGAACCTTTTACTGAAATGTATCAATACATGATAATCAAAGGTAAATTAGAGAATTTCAAAAATACAGTATCATTCGGGTTATTTGCTGTCCTCAGATGACCAGTCCTGTTAAATTATATTGCTAGTTTCTGGTTAAGGAGGACCTCTGCAGATCCAGCCCATAGCACATGCTGAACATGCAGGCAAAACAGACTTTTCTGTGTACTTTTGTATTCAACTTTCTTTAACTCATTATCTCACCCTCACAGCCTCCTATGGCTCCTTCTCAAGGTGTACTATGGACCAGCCATTCGGCTGCCATTTTTGCAGAGGTTTCCCATGGGTTCCTCAGTCAGGACAGAGACCTTGAGCTGCCTTTTCTCATCCTCTTGAAACCTCTGGCCTGTGTATTCCTCTAGTGAAAAATGACATGTTCAGCCAAAAAAGCGTCACTTTGTAGTGAATTACTTGAGTTACTGTTCGTGTCTCACCATGCAGGGCCAAGCACAACCTTGGCCAAGCCTGGATGCGAGGGAGACCAGAGGGAGCGAATCCCATGCTAGTCGAGTAACTGCCTGCCGAAGGGCTTCCTGTACTCCCGTGGCAAATATCACATAGCAGCACCCAGAGGTGGACACTAGAAAGGTGGTAGTGTGACGAGGCCTGTATTTCTGAGTTTCAATGATCTCTTCTATCTACTCTGTTGAAGGGACAGTTCCACTTTCCTGCCAAAACCTTGCGGGGCAATGTTATTCACTGCTTGATACCAGTCTGAAGTATTTAGGCATCTCGGGCTGCAGTAGAAATCTTCAGTCAAGTCCAGACTCCAGCTCTGAAAGACATCACCTTGGAGATTTCCTTTCACACCGTTGTCAAGCTTCACAAAGTAAATGTGCTTTCCCACCCTGGCTCTTCCCAAAGGACGCCTGCTTGAGGCACTGCCTGCACTAACCATAAGGAGTAGATGTAGGCTGGAAGTGAGATGAAGATTTTCGACTTGCTCATGCCCCAGTGTTCTGGGTCCCACACCGGCCTTTAGCTGCAACAGATCTTCTCTAGTACCTCACCCTTCTAGACAGCCATCATGTCCCCTCTGCATGTTTGTGTTGCTAGACTGAGCAAGCCAGTCTCCTCTGATCTTCTCTGTAATATGTGTTCTGCTTTCCTGTAATCATCCTAACAGCCCTTTTTGGAACTAGCTCTAGTTTCAGTTAAACTTTTTTAAACATAGGTGGCTGGAATTGTAGGGAATATGCCTGATGAATGGTCAGTGGGGTCTTTTATACCTTTCTCTTCACATGGGAAACATGGCTTTTAGTGTACTTTGTGTGTGCATGTGTAACATTTGCAATCTGTAGTTACCCAGGTATTAGTATACCAAGATGGTTTTCCTTGGTTGCTTCTAACCAACGGTCTCTTTACTTATTAAAAAAAAAAGTAGTATTTATTAGTCCCCAGAATCATGGTCTTGCCCTACTTTTCATCTATAATATTGGCATTGGGTTTTAAATTTTTTTCTGCTGCAGTGACTGCATCAGACTGCTATGTGCGCTTGTGGCTGCCATCTGCTGCAAATGGAAAGCTTCAGACCAAAACCATCAAGAATTCTGACAACCCTGTCTGGAATGAGACTTTCTACTTTAGGATCCAGAGAGAAGTTGAGGTAGTAAAAAAACAGAAATTTCACCATTTTGAATAGCTGGGAATCCTCAGTTGACACCCTGTTGATCAACTGTGCTAAATAACTTAAGAAAATGGTTGTGTAACAGAATTTGCAACTGCCAGGTTAGCCCAAAATAGCAGACATATGGAGTAGTGTTCCCCTCAGCTAGTTATAGACATCGGTGATATAAATGCCTACATCTGAACTAGTCCAGACTCCCTTTGTTGTCACCTGAGAGAAATAAGTACTGCTGTAGCATGCTTCATCTGGGCTATTTTGGATGGTTAATTTAGAAAGAGCTTTCCCTCCACTGGTTGTAAGGGAAGGGTGGAGGAGTTGCTGTGGAGCAGACAGCAAATTTAATCCTACCCTAAGCTGTGTAGTTAAGAGAACTTTGGGGATGAAGAAACTGAGTAAGAGTGTTCTTTGGGTGGGTTGTCAGTATGGTGCAGAGCCCTGACTTCTCTTCTGTCTCAGGACAGTGGGAGCTCTCTGTTATAGGTGATATGTTATATCATGTCTTCTATCCCATGATAAGTTTCCCAAGGTTGGGTTTAATGACGGTGTTCCACATTAGCAAACTCCTGAAGAAAAGCACAGGTTTCTTTATTCTTACCACTGTGCTAGTCAATCAGCTGCAAAAGTCTATAACCATTTTTTTTGTTTCTGTGTAATAATAGCTCAGTAAGAGTTCTTATTTATTTTCTTCTACTACCAGAACATTTTAGAACTGGCAGTGTGTGATGAAGATCCACTCACCAAAGATGACATGCAGTTCACAGTTCTTTTTAATGTTGCTAGAATCAGACCCGGAGAGACACTCCGTGAGACGTTTGCTTTGGAATCAGAGGTAAGGACTGAAAACACACGGAGAGATCAGCAAGACCTCATTGTCCACATAGGCTTCCATGTGAAGTGAGGTTTGGGTCTGCATAAAGAGAAATCCATATATATTGGTATCATTACCAATATTTCATCAAAACAGATATCATTGTGCTGGATTTTTGTGACTTCATTAATCTCTTTTCACAGATTCAGAAAATGAAGCCGCTTCTCTCTCATGCTCACCATCTCTATGGGGGCAAAATATGTTAATAGCTAGCATCTGTAAATAGTAATTTTTATCTTTTATAATCCAAATAAATAATTTCCTTAGCTTTTGGCTTTATTCCACTTTTGCCATGCTGAGAGGAAATTTCCTCTTAAATGGCAACTTTTATTAAAAACATGAAGACAATCCACTCACCACTTGAATTAAATGATTCTTTCAGGCTTCTCCTATCGGTGTTCATGCTGGGTTTCCTTCTATCTGATTCAGGTTTCTCTAGCCCATAGTAAAAGGATGCATGTTCTGCTAACATTTTGGTATTCTGTTAAGAAGCCCATGGAAGAGAGTTGTCCAGAGAACAAAGCTGGGGTAGGTCTGTGACAACTTCTGGGCTTGTCTGAGCTGTGGCTGAGGTACTGCTACATGCTTATTGCAGTAAGGAGACAGTCCATACCCAGAAGAACAACTACTTCCCTAAATGCTGAAAGCTGTTAACATAGATCTTCCTAGTGACTCTGCAGGCTGGTGCCATGCGCTTCTCAGCCAGTGGGTGAGTCACTGAGAAATATAATGGTTCAATAACCATCTCAGTCCAGAGTACTCTTGCCTACTTCATCTCTTCTGGATTGAGTGTGAATGTGATTTAAACGGTTTGTACATGGAAATGACACTGGCGTTAGTCATATTTGTTGCTGGGTTTCAATGTCTTTCCCCTCCATGCACACCATCTTTGCAGAAAGCCATTGTATTTCTGTTTCAGTCAAGCTTTCCCTCTCTGATTGTAACTTTGGAAATATGTATAATTCTGCAAATCCCACAATGGGAGAATATTAATCTTCCTAAGGCTGTCGTTTCCATTGCAATCTCAGCTTTGGAAAGAGGTTATACACAGCTTTTTTGGTAACATTAGCGGAAGAGATGTCAGCCATGGAAGTGCTTTTTAGATGTGTCTATACTGCCAAATTCTTGCAGCCTCCAATAATCCATATTTATTTTACCCTTTTCTTTTTAGAGAGAGAGGTGCACTAAGAAATGGGAAAGTTTGGAAGTGGAATTCTGGATGGAAAGAATGTGAGTAAAATTCCAAAGCTCAAAGGTATATATCTGCCAGGGAGCAATAATATCTCAGAGAAAGAGGAATGTCTTCCAGCTCTTTCTCCTAGCAGTGAGTCAAAATTACTGTTTCAAGCTTTTTTTTTACCTTAACTTCCCCAGCTACTTCTGCCTTTCAGTGTATTCCACACAAATTGTACCTTCTGTTCAACATGTATATCCTGATTGTGGAAATGTAGTAACATTGGCACGATGTGATAACTTGTACACAAGATGCATGTAAAACTTAACAGAGGTGTTCTTCAAGTTGTTAATATTAATTGAACAATGCCTAGAATATTGCGGTGTTTCTAAAAGACCAGAAAACTTGTATTATTATCACGATATATACATAGACCATAGACTTATGCAGACAGTATTAGAAAAGTCACCCATTAGGCGACAGCTTAGTTAAACTGAAAAAAACATACAATCAACAAATAATAAAATTAAGACCGTCTCCCTCGAAGTGGTAATCAACATTGTCTGGAGGGGAACAAATCCCATAAGATAAAATTTATCTCTCTTTTAAATGCTATCACAAGTTTGGTTGAAAAAAACCCCTAAACTACACATTCTGGCATATTTGAGCTTAGCATTACCAAAAAAAGGAATATAGTCCAGTCAAAACTGACTAACTGCATGATTAGAAGAAGGAACTGTAAATAAAGCTTCTTATTCTTAAACATGGAAAAGCTGCAGAAGAAAATCACTGGTGTTCTTGGTTAATTCCTTCCACAGTGAAACTCAAGAAAATCTATTTAATTTGTCTATGATAGATACCTTAAGAGATGGTATAAGCATCTCCTGCAAATGCGGAAGCGATCACAGCCAGATATATAAAAAGGACAGAATGAGGTGCGGTGCTTGGAAACTGGACTGAGTAGATTCAAACTAGAAATAAGAGGAACATCCTTCACCATTCAAGTTATAAGGCACATGGGGGATTCTCCATCCTTGGAAGTCAAACCTAGCTATTTACATTTAAATACATCCTACAGCTGAAATAATAGAAGTTTTAAGGCTGGAAGTGGTGCTTCATAAAATACGCTAGACTTTGTAGAAAGTCAAAGATTACATACTACATAACTTTAATGGTCCTTTCAGATATGTGAAAGCACTTATGAATGTGTGTAACATAGTGATGTTGGAGTATTGGCCTTAATGAGAGATGCTGTTAGTAGACTCTATAGGTTACTCTCAGTAATAACTAACTACATCCATTCAGTGGCAGACCTAGGTCTTACATGGTAAAATGTCTGGGACAAAGGCTTTCTATTATTTACCTCTGTGTTTTCCAGTCATACATATAGCACAGTGGGAGCTAATTCTTATTTGCTGTTCATTTGTGATTAGTTGTAAATTATAATCTGGAATAGTCAGAAATGTCTCTCCTAATAAGTATTTGCAGAATACATTAATAGTAATCTTTGCTTTCCCCAAGTCATATGGTCATTTGTTAATAGCAGGACATGATTCCACATAGACCGGTGTGTCTTTGTTCTGCTGTATTTTAGCATATATTTTTAAGCATTAGTATTTTTATGGGCTCTCCTGCCTTTCTTCTTGTTTGGCTACTACGTTTTGGTTCATGTGCTTAGCAGGTGATCATGTGTTATGCCTTTTAGAAAACAAGTTGTTATACTAACATAACTATATTCAATTTTAAGCAGGAAAGGTCATAAAACTACTATTTTTTAAAAATACCAGATACTTGCACAGCTTTTGTTTGTTTGTTTTTTGATTCTGTCTTTTCAGTCCTGGCCCTCCAGAGCACCTCATTACCAATGATGTCCTAGTGGTAAGGTTCACATATGAATTTAGCTTGGAGTGACTTTTCCTCATTTTGATTCTTTCCTCTTCCCCGCAAGCATCGTTACAGAGAGAACAGAAGCTACCATGATAGATAAGAGCATGGTGTGCATTATAAAGTGAAAGATGTGGGACGATTCCCATACATTATGGCTTAACTGTTGCCCTCTCCATGCAAAAATACATGCTGTGTTTCTTGAAGTCCTCAGGTATTACAGAGCCCAGCTGTGGTTTGTTAATGTTGCAGAACCCCATATTTGTTGGTGTTCAAAGTGAAAACTGCTTGTGTTCCATGTAATACAGTATGGCACTTGGCAGGAAAAACAAATGTTATAAAAGGCATGAGAGTGTAGAAGACAATAGTAAGTATTCAGTGTGCTTATGACTGGAAGGTTATCTAATGTAGCAGCTTTTTGGGAAATAAGGTTTTTAATAAAGAGTTATTTTAGTCATTGAAACATAAAGTCCTCTTTTGGTATTAGTCAGCATGTGGTACATTACCTATCTCCTTGGGCTGGCCCAGCAGCTAAGGAGTACAAAGTACTTCATGCCAACCTCTCCCAGCCTGCATGTGATTTCCAGATGCTAGCCTTTAATACCCCTGAGGCAAAGTAACACGTATTCTGTTCTTTCCCCCTCATTTTCTGTGTGAGGCATAAAAGCTGTAATGATTGGCATGCGTTGTTCCTGAAATGGCTTGGAAAACTGTCCTGGCATGAGTTTTTAAAGGTGAACTGGAATGACTCAGGTGGAGGGTAGGGTGGAATAAATCCATGATCTCCCTACATTAGGACCATCAAGAAGATGCCTTGTAGACTAATCACTGCCACAATATACAGAAACTCATCATCAGGTGTTTTCCCCCACCCTTCCTAAATAATTATCAGATATATGTGTAGCTGTTTGGGCAAGTGTGTTGTACAGAGTTTCCTGATTTTGGGATAACTTGAGTGAGTATAACAACCTCTGGCAATGCACCACTGTATAGACAAGCTAGTTCTGAAGCAGTGTAACTGGGCTACTGTCCTGGGATAATAAGCTCTGAATTTACTCTTGTGCAGCTGGATTGCTTCCAGCACTGAGACCAGTTTGGTTGGCTCTATATTATAGCTAGTGGTTGTCTGCATGATGTTTCATTATTTGCTGCAGATATGGCATTTGCTATCTTCACACTTTCCCACTCCTGTCTTTTACAGTCCCGTGAGGTTTGCTGCTTGGAAGTGCAAGTGGACATTAATGAAAGCAGGAAATACTTGAAAGGTACGCCAATTTCTCTGTGAAGCGAGGACATGACCAAACCAACCCTATCATAGTCATTCAGACCCAGATGGAGGCACTTTAGGATACAGAGACGACTAGGAATGTTCTAAAGACAATAAAATGTAATGCAGTGAAAGTCCCTGAACTGCCTCCAGTTGTAACGCTGATCTGTGTCTTTTCCTTGAAGCTCTCAAGTTTGGACACAGTAAACTTTGCTGGTGGAAGTATGAGAGAGTGCTGAATCTGGGCGCACTCCGAGCTATGGGGTAAAGGCAGGAGTACCAGTTCCTGTGCTGTAGGAGACTTGCCAGTATGGCAGCTGCGGAGGAGTTACTACAGAGAATGACTCCAGCAGAAAGTTTGCCAACTTTGTTAGCTATTTTGCCTGAACAGCGGTATTATTCTCTAAACAAATCTGTTTTCACTAGAGGGTAAAAATCTCGTGCTTACGGTGCCTGCATCTCATGAAAGAACACAGAAAACTACAGAGGACACAGATACTTTCTATTTCCATTGCGTGAAGGCTTGGGAACCAGTTCTAAAAGTCAGGCTGCAGGTAATGGGCACTGTACAATACCACTGTTCATACTGCTTGTTTATTGCCAGTGTCACCAAAACAGTAAAGAACGGAATTGTTTATATTCTGTGAATAAAAACCATGTTTTTTGTTCTCTGTAGAAAGTTTCTGATAAGGAAGATGACAACAGCAATTTAAGTGACACCTTAACTGTACCACTGAAATTTCTCCCTGTTGGACATAAAGTGAAAGTAACCCTTCCTGTAAGACATGTAAGTGCTTCACCATTTATGTGATCTTTCAGAGGGAAGTGTAGAGTAACCCTCAGTATTTAACACCATAACATTTAAAAAAAAAATCAATTAGTAAGCTGAGAATTTTGTGCAAATACATGTTTTCTGTGAAAAAGGTTAGTTTTTTCAGAGAAATAGCAATTTTCTGTCAATAAAATCAATAAATTGGAATTCATCCTCGCCAGTTTTAGATGCATTTAAGACCAGCCTCTGCTGTCCTTACACTGTTAAAGGAGAATATTCAATACCCCTAGCAAGGCTTTGGGATGCCCCACTGCTCTTTATCAAGCCTGGCTGGCTAGCTCAGTCTATATACCTGAATTTTAGATGGCTAAAGTTAGATGAGTTGAATCTTACCCTCAGAGAACAGTTCTGTCACGTTTTTCTAAGCGTACAGTCAGGATGTAACTGGTGGAGAGATACAACTCTAAGTTGCTTTAAAAGCAGTAGTAATGCTGCTGTGTGGCCGGATGAATCTGCTAACAATAGCCAGACATCCTTTCCCAGACCTTGCAGCAAATGAGAGGCAAAAATAGGAGGAGAAGAATTTCTCAGCAGCCTTTCCCGTAAAGAGAAGGGAGAATGAATGCCTGTTTTGCCACTAGTGATTCCCCACCCCTCTGTTTGGACTCTCTTTTACCTCCAGTAGGTTTTTGGAAGGATGTGGTGACTTGCATTTCCTCTTCTATCACTGTCTTTATCTGGCTGCTGTTCTTCATCCTCAAGAATAGGAGGGTGACAATGTGATAATGCTGCTGGGTTAGGATGGTTCATGGAGGTATACTCACAGTGAGGAAGAAATCCTGTTTCACAGCCCGTTCATCTAGCCACTTTGACTCCTCCTGCCTCTTCTGCTTCTCTGTAGAATATGTTTGGTGTTTAGTTGCTTTCCTTCTCCTTCTCACTACAGTTTTCCAAAAAATGGTATGCAGGGTGGTAGTGGTGGGGCATTCCAGGAGACACTGAAAATCTGGATTTCAAAACTTCTCTTTTTCCCAGTCATTCACGTTCCTGCTCTCATTTCTTTGTTTACAGAATGTGCCACTGCAGTTGTACCTCCAACTAAATGATTGGTAAGCGGACTGTTTTTTTCTCTAAAGGTTTTATTGCTCTTTGAACTGTGGATTCTAGAACAGAGTGTCCTTTATTTAGACACAAGGAATGCACAAGACTAGGGGCAAAATATAACAATAGTTAAGTCACCATTAAAGAGTCACCACAACAGATCAAAGTTAAATGTCCTTGGGGCCAAAGAGTCAGGCCAAGATGTAAAAAAAAAATTACGAGAATTTCAAACAGTGAGGAACTTAGTCACCAAGTGTCCTTTGCGTCAAAGAACCAAAGACTGAGATTGGAGGCTTCTTCAAAAGGGACACAGAAGTGGGAAGAAGGCAGAGGGAAAAGGGAATTTGAAATAAGCAAAACATCCAGAGTCCATACATTACTCAAACCACACAGGTATTCTTAAGAAAACAGATTGGTGGCTCTGGTGATATCAATAGAAAGAAGCACAAGCTAGGGAAGATGAAATGTTACACTGTAAAATAATGAGACAGACAACAAATAAAAGAAAATTATTTGAATATCTTTTTCATTGTACTGTTTCTGTGTAAGTCTGTGGTACAAATCCCCATGAAAGACCTTGTTAGGTTCAAGTCACCCTTTGCTCAGAAATTATATGAAGCAGAAATAGAAAGGATTCAGCTTACAAAGCTACTGAAAGACATAAAGAAGCCTTTCTTTTTCATATTTGCTATCCTTAGCTGGCAGTAAAACTTACACTGAAACATCAGAAAATAAAGAGACATAGAAGCAAGGCAGTTGATTTCTTTGAAACTGGAAGCTGCATTTCTGTCTCTAAACCTGAACAGTGAATAATGATTTTTTATGATTTTCAGCAGTTGCTGAAAATAGATCCATATACATTTTAAACACCAATCCTGTGCTTCTGGATTTATTTATGTTTCAGCACAGAAAAATTAGATGTGCGTTTAGGGTACGATCTGTGCCGAGAAGAGCAAGAATTCTTGCAAAAAAGGAAGAGAGTGGTTGCCAGTGCCCTGAAAAGGGTTCTTCATCTGGAAAGAGATCTACATGGACACGAGGTCTGTGAGTTGGAATCCAAGCATGGGGTGTGGGCATATTGAATTAGGATTGGCACAATTCCCCACAAAATTGCTAGTAGTTTTTGCATGTTGATGACAAACCCATTGATTTGAATGGCAGCAGAACAGAAGTTCTCAGTGTGACATACCCCAAACCCATTTAAAATTTCAGCTCAGCTATTCATGCCTCCATTCTTTTCAACGGGTCAAATTCCCAAGGACATAATATACCACTCTTCAAAGCCAGAGTTTCCAGCAGTGTGGTGCAGCGGGTCAGCAAGATATGAGGCACTGCTGGTACATTGTGTTAAACACAGCCTAGCCAGACAACCCAAACCCAGTAGGAAAACAGGAGTATTTGAAATTCACCTCACATAGATATTTATGAAATCATTGTAATGTTCCTTCTTTAGGCTTACCTTTTTTTTTTATTTTCACAAAACTTTTCACAAAAAGTCAAAATTCTTTAGGGTGGAGAAAGAACATTTTATAACAAGCTCCAGCTGAAGTGTGTTTTGTTGCCAAGATCCAGGGTGAATTTTTAAGTGAACATTTATTTTCTTGATGGAATTTTATTTGCTGAATGGATGCTGTCCAAAGAATCATTTTGTTTGCTTAATATATTTTTTCTGAACTCTGCTCAGGACTTCTTTGAATCCATTCTTAATTACATTTATTGCAATTGTTGTTATTTATAATAAAATCATATCATTATCTGTTATTAATCATTGCAATTCCAGTTATAAAGAACAAGGGGAGGAAGGAAAGTTAAAATCACTGCATATTCAAACTCATCCAAGCTTTGGGGTTAAAAGAACCCACTGAGTGTCTGGAGGTTAATTTAAAGAAGGTACTGCTAAAGACTGGCTGAATGTTGATTTAATTTCATTGTCCTCTAATGAAGTCTTCTGAGGAAATTATAAGAGCTTTAATTAGACTTTTCCAAGTAGGCAAGTGAGTAACTTTTTGAAGATAATACTTATGTTTTGAACAGGTCCCAGTAATAGCTGTTATGGCAACAGGCGGAGGCCTCAGAGCAATGTCAGCTATGTTTGGCCACCTCTTAGCTCTTCAGAAGCTAAATCTGTTGGACTGTGTTACTTATCTTACCGGGGCTTCTGGCTCAACATGGTGCGTATAGAAAATGAGATTTGTATTTGGAATGACTGTGACTCTACATTTCCACACAGTGAGAGAGGTGCATCTCTTTTGAAGTCCTACATTATTAATAAGTGAACGTAACTCCCTGGTAAAGCTATTACTGTTGGTTCTCGATCATAACTTCAGTTTAGGCTTGCTGATTCTCTTCTTTGATGAAAGGGGTTGGGTAAATAGAGTAATTTTCCAAAATCCAAATAAATGGATTATTTTCTCACACTTCTGTTCTTTAGGACCCTAGCGGACCTGTATGAGCATGCCGACTGGTCACAGAAGACTCTGGAGGAACCACTTAAGGCAGTAAAAGAACAAGTGACAAAATGCAAGCTCAACCTTATGTCTATAGAGCATCTGAAGTATTATCACAAGGAACTCACTGAAAGGGCAAAAGCAGGACATGTGTCATCTTTTACAACTCTGTGGTCACTTGTTCAGGAAATGTTCTTACATGAACAGGTATGTACATTGTCCTGCCACACATTTGGGAAACATCCACTCATTTTCTTTAGAGCTTTACTCTTTGAGGGCGTGACGTAATGTGTGGAACAAATCCAAAGTGACTGAGGCATCCCAGTGTGATTTGTAAACAATGGCAGAGGATCTTGTAGCCAGGATTTTCCAGGGTAGCTAGTGGTTTGAAGGTACTTCTGTATGAGGGTGCCCAACAGCTAGCAACTTCAGTAGGCAAACTTTCAGAAAGAACTGAGCAATCCCTGCTGAAAAGTCAGGTCTTTTAAAGTCTGTTTCTAGTTGGAGAAACTTAAGAGCTAGAGCTAGAGTAATCTGTCCTCATGTGAACATTAGTCTCAGCCTTAGTAAAGATCTGTGGGATGCAGGCAATCAAGGCACTTAGATATTAATGAAGAGGTTACTAGGTATCAAAAAGGCAACCAGGAAGGAAAGTGCAGGAACATGAAGGAAGAGGTCTCTTATAAAAATGTGACGCACAGATTCCTCTGGGTTGTAAAACATCTGTTATCTATCCATACTCAAGTAGATTGTGTCAGTGTTTTCGCCTTGTGCTCTTCCAGAGGTTTACTGTGATTTTTTTATCTCTTTGATTAGCCAAGAAAGTACAAACTCACAGACCAGTGCAAGGCATTGGAGCATGGACAAAATCCATTGCCTTTCTATGCAGTCCTCAATGTGAAAGAGGAAAAGTTCAGTACTTTCAAATTTAGAGGTAAGTATTCCTAGAGTTTCTTCTGACTCTGAGTAGGGACTAAAGAGAATTTGGAGGGAGGGTGCGTGTGTGGAGGATAAAAGGGGAATACGTCTGTTGCTTGCCCTGACTCAGTATTCACCTTTTAATAAAATGTTTGTCTTTTTTGCGAACTGCTGGGTGTTGATTAAAAAGAGCAGATCTGCTGGATAACATCCTCAGGCATGAACAGGGCATTTCTGAAGATCTGGGCTGAAGTTCTAGTTTTGCCACAGACATTGTGAGTGAGTGTGGGCAAATCATGTGATCTTTTTCTGCCTCAGTTCCATACCTGTGAAATGGCTTTGATGGTTCCTTAGTTTGTAGAGGTGCTGTGAAATGTAGTTGTCACTTCCCTAAATACTACACTGATGAGGGTATGAAAATGGAGTGGACTATGATTGCTATGATGGGTGTGATATGACAGCCTTTAAATGGACACAGGCTACATTCAACAAAAGGTATTAAAATGAGCAGATATTGGAAAGAAAAAAACAGTACTTACATTTGGTTAGGTTTATAGCTACTGTTCTACTGCAATGCCTGTACAGGACAGCTTGAGTCAGGAAACTGCATGGCCATGCCCACACTGTGATACTTTCCAGTTTGGAGCTGATGTGTCTTCAGGCTGCTTTGTTATATCATGTAGACTGACAAGTTCGGGTTAGAAGAGGTTTCATGCCAGTCATTCCTTGCAGGTTGGATCACACTTGAATGTTGTATATTTGATGCTCTTGATTTAGAGAGGCAAGTGGGATCCCAGAATCTTTATATAGAAATATATATCTAAGCTTTTGAAGCTAACGTTAGACTCTCTGAGGTGAACAAGATAGTTCTTTTTGTATGTAAATCACCTCTCAGTTTGTATGGAACTAGACAGTGTAGTTTGCAATACAAAGCTACTGATGTATGATGATGACACATACTACATGATGACACATGTACAGAGCCGCTGAGACAAGCAAGATCCATGGAGCTTGTGGATAGCTTTATCCACAGGGGAAGGTTTTGTTTTCTTATTTTTATTACAGTAAATGTGTCATGTGTCAATTCTTTTGTAGAGTGGGCGGAGTTCTCTCCTTATGAGGTGGCCATACCAAAATACGGAGCCTCCATTCGTTCAGAATATTTTGACAGTGAGTTCTTCATGGGAAGGCGAGTGAAGAAGCTGCCAGAATCTCGGATCTGCTATCTGGAAGGTGACCTAGCAGTGCAATATAGTTAATCACGACATGGTAGAAAGCATGGTACTAGCTAGCCACAGGTCTGTGTACAACACTCCTTGCCAGCAGGTCTGCTCTAGGTCTTGGTTCAATGGGCTTTTACCCCTTTTGTACATTTCTGCTCTTTGTAAACCTTCTTTCCTCCTGTCCTGCCTTTTAACCTGGGCAGATTTGGGAAAGTTGCAGCATGGTTCCCCTTGCCATTTTCTGAACTAAACAAGAAGGTGGAGAAGGCAAGTTGAGGAAATAATAAGCCTTTCTTCCCTGACCAGTCATCAATTCTTCAACTTCATTAACTATGTTTCTAGACAATGCATTGCTGGGGTAGAACTGGAAGGAGCTGAAAATAAAATATAACTAATATAGAACAACCCACAAAGGTGACAACCATCTGAGCTTTGTGGGTTGAGAATGGGGTCACTAATCTTCCCTGCCCATAAGGATGAAGGAAGCCCTTTTAACCTCCAACAACTGCTTTGACTGGCTGTTCTACCTTGAAAGGTGAAGAAAAGGGGAAAAGCAGCTAGTCAGTGGAATCCTTCTGCCCCAGGCAGATTTTAAATCCTTGTCAGAATTTTAGCTTTTGATACCAAAAACAAGGGTCCAGTGGAGACAAAAATCATATTTCTTTCACTGTGAAGTCTGCTGGAATTTGTTCCTCATGTGAGTACCTGGCATGGGGCTTAACGACAAAGGATAGTTCTTTCTTTTCCAAAAGCAGACTCACATATGGAGCCAATTCTATTTTGATCCTGGACCAGTTGAACTCCACAGAAACAAAACATGCCTGAAAGGAAAAAATGGGTCTTAGATAAATGTAAAGAATAAATCAGTTTAAGGAAGGGCCTTATGCTTATATGGCTTCACCATGCTTTCAAAGCCTGCTTTCTTTCACAAGTACACAGTAAACACTCTAAAACATCGTTTGGGTGACTGATACCTCTTATTTTGTTACTCTGTACTATGCAGTGAATGGTCTGTGTGTAGTTATCTCTTGAGAAAAAGCACTGAAGTGCTGACACCATTATGTTTGAACTCTGTGAGACCTACTGCTGTGTCATGACAGGGTCGGTTCACATGGGCCAATAATATGTAGCATGGATATTTGTAATAGTCAGTGGTTAACATGTGGTGGTGCAGTATTTTTCCCATGTGGTTTGACTTGCAGGTCTTTGGACAAACATCTTTACGAGGAATTTGCTGGATGGCTTGTACTGGTCCTCAAATTCAAATGAATTCTGGGAACGATGGGCCAAAGATATGGTAGATATAGGTAAGAGTTTCAAAATCAGTATTTTTTTTTGACCAGAGAGTGCTTCCTATTCAGGAGAGGATTAAGGAAGATACACTATTGCCACTGTTTGTGAATAATCTCTCACATGTTCTCCCTAAATTGCTGCATGTTGTGTTGCCTTACTGTGGATCTTCCAGCATGATTTTCACCTGTATCAGAATGATCACTATGTGGTGTTTTAATTTTATTTTATTCTATTTTATTTTATTTTATTTTATTTTATTTTTATTTTATTTTATTTTATTTTTAACTCAGAGGCACACTTCATGCTAGTTACAAACGTGTTTCATTTAAAATTTGCTCATGGTGTGTTAAATGACTCCTCCCATGACTGCAAATGAGAAGGGTGGCTTTTACTTGTAGGCAAAAATACAAAGTCAGTGTGTCATTTGAAAGAGTAAAAGACAAAAGCTGTGCTTGCTTTAAACAAAACCAAATATCTCTTTGTTTAAATGGGATTGGTCATGTGCATATGTTTTCAAGCAGACTGCAAGAAACAGGGAGGGGAGGGACCCACAGGAAGACAGCAAGGGCAGCTAGCCAGTAAAGGTGCCCGGCAGAACAGATTGCTGATGTTTTTTCTCACAGTTCCTTCTCTATTTCAGAAAAACATTCCCCTGAGGATGATGTCACTGTCATTGAGCCTCCGTCTTGTTTGTCAGGGAAGTTGTATGAAATGTTTCAGGACATTATGACCAAGCGTCCACTACTGGGAAAGTCTCATAACTTCCTGAGAGGCTTAGAATTTCATAAGGATTATATCCATCAGAAAAAATTTATTGAATGGAAAGGTAACTGCAACAAAGAGTTAGCTGCAGTGTGCAGGTAACATCTCAGATTTTTTTTTTTTTTAGACTTTGGAAATCTCACATTTAGACATCTTTTCTCAGGGTTTGCAAATCTGCTGAGATGGAACTATGTTCATGGTGTCTGTTTCTTTAGGGTAACAGGTTAAAGTGAACTAGTCCATGCGCCACTCTTTCACCTCCTGAAAATATCTGTAATTTGTGTCAAAGCATGATCTTCTACAGGAAGTTTGTCACTCTGCATAGGTACAGTAGTCAAAAGATTCAGAAAGGGTAGAATCTTTTAAGGTCAAGAAACAAAGGTAACACCAGAAGTGTAAAATAGCAGATTATTATGTGTGTCAGATGAAGGAAAGGACTGGCTGCACGCATGTGGTTCCCCATACGTGTGGTATTTCTGCCTGATGATTTATCCATCGAGAGACCTCTCTTTAACCCTTCAGGAATAGAAATACCAGCATCCTCATTTATTCCATGAGCAGGTAGCAGTGTGGGAGGACCCTACATTATTAAGGTTAATCTCACTTCAGCAACAAAACATGTGTTCTCTGCCTCCTCTGTTCTCTTTGGCAACTTGTGTTTTCTCTCCCCTGTTTCATGCAAGTTACAACACTTTTTGTCCCTGGCTGCCATTGCTACATGGTTTGCTGAGACAATGGCAAGAGATGGTGGAGTTTTTTGTGGATTAAAGCAGAGCCCACAGTGTGCTAAGTGCTTTCAAAATGTTCAGTAAGCAAAAAGTCCGTGTCCTAAAAAAGTCTGCTCTAAGAAAACAAGTGAGAGAAGGAGAAAACAAGTAGCATAAGAAAGGTGGGCGAGAGAAGGAGCAAGCGAGTATCTTAAGAAGGTGGATGAAGGATAAAATTGTCAGTCAGTAAATGTTAAAAAATCATTTTCTGTACATTTGCTGACTAGCAATTTTGTAAAGGCAAATGGGTAGAAGCAGATTTCAAGGAGGATTTAGAGGAAGCGAGCATAGGGACACTAAAGACTAGCTCAGGGTAGATATTCTACAAATAAAATAAAATAACTGGAAAGCATGAAGTCTGGAGTGGGAAAAGGGAAACTGGAAGTCTGGAGTGGGGAAAAACTAGCAGATTTTTTATCCTCTTTTGGCTGCCTGCATGAGACCAAGCTAAAACCAGGTAGGGATCCATCTGTGGGAGCAAGAGGAGATGCCAGCTCTGTGAGCAGAAATGGTAGGCTCGTGGTGGGTGAAGTCTCCAGAATATAGCTGTGTTTTAAAGACTTCCCTGCAGCTCAGATTATCTGACACATTAAAACAAGACTTTACATGCCATGTGAAAAGCCTAATTTTCATGGTGAGAAATTTGAGAACTCATAGCCTGGAATTAGTGTAGTGCATTTACAGTAGGGTTCATGTTTTCAAGGGAATTCCTGAGGCAGGACTTCTTTAAAGTCCCTTTTTGGGTGTGGGATGGAAGGAGAGACTCTCCCAAGGAAATGCCTACTCCTAATTCACATATCCAGCCATGAATAAATGCTGCACAGTTCCACCTCCATGATAAGAAAATGGGGGTAATGGAATTTCAACGAAAAATATTCACCAGGCCAAATAAAACTAAAAAGTACGCTCTGTTTCTTCTGTGAGGGACTGCAAGCAAATGTCTCTCATTACAGCAGAATCTGTGAATTCCCAGCAGCCATGAATGCTAAAATAAGCAAATAATTTTGTAAAGACCTGACAGTGAGAGAATGGAAAAAATATGAGTTATTACTTCAAGCTGCTGTCAAACATTCCAGGCTATGGAACAAGCTAGAGTTATTCTGCAAGGTTTAAATCAACACTACAGAATGAGGCCAAGGAGGCAGAGAGATCGAAAGAAGTGAAATGCTGGAACTTACCTGCAGTATTTCTGTGATCAACAGTTTCTTAAAATACCTAAGCACAAATTATTTAAGGCTCAAGGGGTCTGCTCTGGGCTTTGGTACCTCATTTTGTGAACTTGAGGAACACTTTTAAACCACTATTTTGATATTTAAAGCCATAGCAAAATGTTTCTTATTCCATGGGACTAGAAATGGTACCAAGGGAACAATAGTGGACTTGCTGTCTTCAGGGCAGCCTGGTGGGTTTGCCAGCAGAGAAATAAGAGTCTAGCTATCAGAAACTGGCTTTAGATCTCAGCTTGCCAGTTGGTATAATCCCCTTTTGGCTCCTTTTGGCGTTAATGTGAGGTTTAATTAATTCAAGCAATATTTTAAGCTGTTGGTAGGGGATGCTGTGTGCATGAGGTGCTAATTTTTTGCAGCATAGCTATGATAATTTATATAAGAGATCACTGAAAGCAGGTTGAAGTCAGATTTTTCACCCTGGGAGAGGGGCCTAATCCTGAGAATGCAAAAGCAAAAAAAAAAGAGCAATGCAAAAGCGCAGTGATGTTAGATTTGTTGCTACACTGTGAAATTGTTTCTGTTGTTTGCATTTTTCCCAGTTTAGGGGAAAAAAATCGGCTAAAGTCTGTATTCTGTGAAAAATCACTCCCCAGAGCAGCTGTGAGGCCAGTGGAATCTGTGTCTCACCTGTCCTCTGCCTGGCTGCCTCACGGCCTGCCTTTGTGAGTGTGTCTGGGGGAGTGTGGTAACAGGACAGATGTGCTCAGACGTGCAGTTTGGAGGGCGTGCTCCTGAGGCCACGTTTGTGGGCTCGCATTATGGAGGGAGGTGAGCCTGGTCTTAAGGGCAACCAAGGGGCTGCCCTTATCATGTAGCACAGACAGAATTACCGACTCCTCCTTTCCTACCAATGCATCGCTAACTATATTCAAAATGTTTTTCAGACAC